TCACCTGTAAGTGAAAAAAAAATAAAATTTGAAAAGGACAAGCAATTAAGCACTAGTGGGTGCCGTTTGACAAAGCAAAACAAGCCCTACAAGGAGCTCCAAGGACATGGATTCACGTGTTAGACTTTATGGCTATTAAGGAAAATTGGGACTCAGAAATGAGCAAACCGTGTACTCGATAATGATCCTGGTCTCTATTACATATGTGACTAGCTGGCTTATCCGGCTCCGCCGTATGTTCCGAATAGAAAATTCCATTTCTTAACCGATCCAGACCAAACTTGGCACACATACACTTCGGGCCCCGGCGGGTGTCACAGTCCACTTTTCGTTAACGATCGATGTCGATTTTATCATTTCTTTGTAAAATTTGAGCTAGGGGCGGGAATTTGGCAGAGGGGTGTAATCGAGCATGCTGATCACCCCCAGGGGCAAAATGATTTTGAGATTTTGTGCTTACCCGGGTTTATTCGCTATGCTGAATCCAAAAATCCACAGTAAAGAGCGCGAAAACGGCGAAAAGAAGCTCAAACACAGGAGGGAAATCAGCAGGTGGGCGGGATTCTCTCCATTTTGAAGTCACGCTAACTTCCGGAGCAATCTTCGCGGTTCCGTTTTCAAGTCAGTCGTTTGCATTGGCCGATGACGATGTCAGGGCGGCCAGCGGAATCAAGACGATCGCTGAGAGCGTAATTTTACAGTGGGGAAGACCCCCCTCACTTGCCGTTTCCCCTTGCGCTAAAGCCATTTTAGCCGTTTTCGCGCTCTCCAGTGTGGATTTTCGGATTCAGCATCTTATATATAAAGCTGAATGTCTGTTTGTCTGTCTGTCTGTCTGTATGTCTGTTTGTCTGTATGTACGTATGTTCCGAATAGAAAATTCCATTTCTTAACCGATCCGGACCAAACTTGCCACACATACACTTCGGGCCCCGGCGGGTGTCATAGGCTACTTTTCGTCATCGATCGATATCGATTTTATCGATTTTTTGCAAAATTTGAGCTACGGGGCTGGGAGTTGGCACAGGGGGGTAAGTGAGCATGGGGATTCCGAATACAATATTAGTTTTTAAAATCGTGCATTACTTATATCGATTTTATCGATTTTTTGCAAAATTTGAGCTAAGGGGCTGAAATTTGGCAGAGGGGTGTAATCGAGCATGCTGATCACCCCCACGGGGTGATCAGCATGCTCGATTACCCCCCTGTGCCAAATCCCAGCCCCGTAGCTCAAATTTTGCATTTTTTTGGATAACAAAAAACAAAATCTCAAAATCGAGTTTTCGCCCGGACACGGCTTAAAAGCAACAAAAGTTGGCCGAATAATCCTAAATACTTTTAACGGTAATCTCATCTTGTCTCATTGCTAAAGCGAGTTCACGCTCCACGGCCCTTTTGTATAGCCTGTATAATTTACTCCACTAGCACAGGAGCGCTAACAGGCCAGCAGCGCACGAGGGCGGAGGGCGGAGGGCGGAGCAAAGGCGGATACAGACGCCGCTGTTGTGAACTGCACACAAAATGGCGTCTGCGGATATGGGCATGGCACCGCAACGCTGTGGCAGCGCCTCCTTTGTAAAGATCTTTTAAATGGTATTTGGGCTTCGACTTGCGGATGCCTACAAGAGCGATCCTCTCCCCCCCCCCCCCCTCCGCCAGACAATAGATTCGATAGGTGAACGAACTGATCTGATCCCAGTTTTTGTCCTGATCCTGAATGTCCTTTTGAAGATGAGATGGAGAGTTAGGCAGAAGTCAGAATCAAATACTGGTAGTAGATGGTGAACCTTCTCGTCATTTCTCATCATATATTTGCTGCACAAAAATAATTTTGTGATCTTGATGAAGACTGCAGCACGATGGCTAGAAAAGTTGGCTATACTTTATATATATAAAGTTCGAATTTGATATCATATGCTTCTCTCTGTGCTGTAACAAGGCATTTGCTTACCTTAGCCTTGCATTTAAATTGTGCTTGTAAATTAACACCAGAACAAGTCAATTGTGTAGTATCTCGCTCTCTAAATGCATTGTGCAGATCAGTTGGGGGGTGGTGGGATTTTGACGCTGTGCGGGAGCACGGCTCCTGACTAATGCGATTGTTAAAGTCCGATAAAAAAAGGGTGGATTTTGGAGCGAGAAACTCGCTCCGGAAAAAAAGGAGCGGTCCGCCAATCCCGCCTCCTCGATAAGTTTTGAGTGGCGAATGCTGTAGATTCATTGTAATCACCACGTCAAAAGTTGCCAAGGAGGAGGGATTGGCGGACCGCCTTTTTTTCCGAAGCGATTTTCTTACTTCAAAATCCACCTTTTTCAATCGGACTTGAATTGTTGCATTAGTCAGGAGCCGTGCTCCAGCAATGCGTCAAAATCCCGCCACCCATCAGTTGACCTGGACAATGCCTTCAAGCGTGTGTTCTTCTGGACAGGGGAGAATACCTTGAGACTTAAGTTATCCCCTGAAGACAAGTTGTGAGTTGTGTATAACTAGATGCGTTTTTGAGCGTAATTTCAATCTGCCTTCCGTTCAATGCAATCCGAGCAGAATTCTCGGAAAGAGGATATGATTTAAAATTCTAGATTTGTCAAGCCTCAAGTGGCATAAAATTAGCGAAAAACACAAAAACATCAGTGGCGGTCCCAGGATTTCCGTCCCGGGGGGGGGGGGGGGACCGGCAAAAAATTTTTTCAAACGAAAGTGCGTGGCATTGGTCACGCACCCCGAAAAAATTCTTGGGGGTGCTTTTCACAGTATTTGCGGGTCCCCAACCCCTAACCCCCGAGAATTTTTTTTGTAAAGCTAATTTGAATTTTTAAAATATTTTAAAAATTAGTTTAGTTTTTTTACGAGAATAAACAAGTCACCTGAACATTTTTATAACCCATAATTTTCAAATTTCGCGACTCATTCTCGGGCCCTCCCCTCCCTCCTCCCCTCGGTCCGCCACTGAAAAACACCTACACGTTTCCCACTAGCTTTTAATGTTCCTTCGTTGTAGTCGATATGCTTAACGCTGAATTGATTGCTCACTTTAGGTATTTTTGTAGAACTTTTCGCTAATTTTATGCCAGTAAAAGCTCGACAAAATTAGACACCCACATTTTCGTGACTTCTTTCGGAGAGCTGCAAAAAAAAAGGAAAGCAAATTTGAAATCAGTGTTCAAAAACGGATCCAGTAGTGTTATGTGACTCGTTCTCACTCGCCGACTTAAGATGGTATCCCTCCTTGCGATTAGCTACTTAACGTTTATGCCAGAGCTTCCGTGTGTCCAGTTACCAAATTACTCACCTGTCCCTTCATCAAAGCATGAAACTAAGCTTAGAAAACCAAATAAGTAAGCTTATGAAGACCTAGCCATGTTCGGGCATGACCGTCCCTTACTGAAAAGAAAAAGTCCTGAGTAACTGTTACATATGTATAGTAGAAGTACATCTCCGTCAAGAGTAATGAATAAAAAACAACAGGAAAAGTTTTTGAGAGTATCTTTATGATAAACGAAATTATGTTTGATCAACTTATACACGATAAGCAACTCTTCAACTCGATGAACCCAAATGTGGAGGTAACAGGAAAGTTAGAGAGCAAAGTCGAGATGGGTCATACTTGGCGGGATACCTAGTTCCACCACCTCATAGGAATGCGGTTCGTTGAACATCGTTTAACAGAGGCGACTGCGAAGAGCATTGGTTTGCTACGCATACCGTATGATTTCCATAGAGGGTGAAATATGGATTCACTTTTCCAATTAACCGTGACTGTAATAATACGCACTAAGTGTGGTATGAATGCAACGTGACCAAGCCCCTCGCTATATAAACGGGAAATACCTAGCAGTATCGCAGTCCTTTCCCATGCTTTTCACTTGCATTTCATCGCTAAAAGCGTTTCTGATTTTTGTTCTCGTGGCAACTAAATGTGCTTACATTGCGGCGGCCGGAAGTTAGGTACGACCACTGAAGTTAGGTGACCGTCGACGAAGTCAAATTCACCTGTATCACCATTCCTCGGTAAAAAATAAAAGAGTTTCAAATCCGAGGGTACCAATCGACTTAGCTCGGCGAGGTGCATCTTCCAACACATACGTACGCACTTTTGGGACACGGTAGATATACGGTAGATCGGTTTTCACGAATTTCTTAAGATTTTTGTCTAGACGGAATACTCAGTGTGCTGATAACACTCACGTTATGTTGCTGCTGGAGGCACTTTGTATGAGTAGTATGGAGTACGAAAAAGTCATTTTGCACGAATATGCTCAAAGCGGAATTAGAAGCCACAATCGTAGCGTTTTATATCTTCATTGCTTGTTCCTAAATGACAAATCAAGGCAAAGGAGGCTTAATTTTTCTCTAGGTAGATTCAGAAAATCTTGAACGCTTATACATAGCTCGTGTATGCGTAGCGCAATGTTTCCAAATTCAGGTGTTACAGTAAATCTAGCATGTGAAATTATAGAAACTTGTCTATTATATCCCATCTGGAAAGTAATGCATCAAAAGTGATTTTTTCTTTTGACAAACAGCATCACTGCCCCAAGTTCACAGACTACCTGCGAACAACAACTAAGAAACAGTTTTACTGAAATGCAGCCTCAAAGATTTCGAATTTCAAAAAATGGTTATTTTCGTACTTACAAGGAAACTCTAACCACCAACCCGCAATAATGATAAAATAATTTGCTAGAATGTACTGATATTGCATGATGACAACGATGCGACATTATTTTCCGGACAACTAATAAAATCTCGTATAGGAGGTGAAACCCTGATTCTGGATTTAATTTTATTATAACTGGACGGTTTTTGTCAACATTGCAAAGATTATTATCGAGTCAGCATTGCTTTCGGTAAGTGAAACTATGGATGTCGACCGAATGGCTTGCTATGCGCCGCAAACTCATTGGAGCCAAGCCCAAGTCAATTGTCTCATAACGCGCTAGCGGAAAAATCTAAGAGAAGAATTGGAGAAGCATTCAAATACCCTGATATGAATTCCAGAATGAGGATTCTCCTTTTCACGGCCATCTGCGTTGCAGCCACCAAAGCCGATTGTAGTTGTAACGGGTGGGAGCCGGACGTTTCCTGGTGTGGACTTGGTGATCAAGGAATCAGTAAGTTTTCGAAAACGTTCGAAAAATTACCTATTTACGCTACATAAATTTTATAATGCTTGCTTGATTCGAATTTGTAATGGTTCACCATACATGATGTTTTTGATACCTTCAATGAAAGCATCAAGAGATGACACCGGTTTTTTTTGTCAGTTGCACATGTGGAATTCGACAGAAAGCTTGTCCTTGAACGGAAATCCACTGCCATCCAAGTCAAACAAGCAAAACTTTACGGGCCACTTAAGCTAGGAAAGGTCATATCGAGAGTATACGGTCTGTTTGATAACAAAAGTTTCTGCTTTCAGTCACATGTCGGACGTGAACGTGAATTGTCAAACATTCTAGTAAGTTTCCAGCTAAATTTTAGGTCGGAGTGCTCCCCACCGGATTTCTTGACTTCTTATGGAACTTCCAGTCTTACAGTTGTAGGTGAGTTATATACAGGGTCAAACGTGGGGTGTGACGCCACACCTGGGGGTCGTTTTGAGGACTCCGGGTTGGGGGAAGGGGAAGGGGGGTTGTCAGGTGCTACAGATGTTACCGATAACGTGATAACAAGCCTATTATGCAGAACATAAGCACATCGAGGTATTGACCTAGAATGGTACACGTGTGTAAGCACAATAAAGGAGTCTTAAGAGCAACATAAAAGCATTATTTTCGTGATTAGCTGGCAAAATAAACCCTGTGGACCAAGTTTAGCGAATCCTGAGATTTCTCGATATTGGGCCAAACAAGTAAAATGGTCATTTTCGAGCACCTTACCTTAAAGGTGAGTTGACTATTTCTTTTTGCACATACACAAAGTACTACTCCTTCTTTGCTCACATAAAGAATCCCACTTCAGATAACCGCGAAATTATAGAAATAAGAGCTAGCCAAAATTTCGTTCGCCACATTTTTCGCTTTCAGTGGCTCAGGCTAGCGAAGACCAACCAGGTCAAATCACTCTTGCGGAAATAACGAGGTTTGAGCTTTTACCGCATTACTTCACCTTCTGTGCAAGCACACTATATTAAGCGGAAAATCTACTCGAGTGTAGGCAAACGGTAATACTGAGGGGGGGGAGGGGGATGGCGGGGAGGGGGATGGCGGGGAGGAGGGGGATTTGAGAAGAGCTGGGGGAAGGGGGGGGGGGGGGGAGGGGAGGGGGTAGTCATATCCGGTAGTTGTGCGCCACACCTCCTACTCGACTGGTTATATATTCGTCCTCCCATTAGATACCCAGTGGACATATTTGGAAGTGAACCTGAGTAGGCTTGGCGGTAGAGCGCAGCAAGGTCCGCCTGCATGTGTTTCTTTTTATTTTCAATCTTTCTTGCCATCATTCATCATGTAGTGATATTTTCTTTATCAGAATTTACAATTCCATTACTGACCGTTGCACCAACCTGCTATGTTCGCCTTACTGTTTATGCCAGGCAAGCCCGAATAGCGACAAATTGTAGATTTCTCCTGGAAGATCACTTTTTCCGGGAAGTATCACGTCAGATGTGAGATGCAGTGTATTCTAGCACGATTTCGAAGCCGAACGTTTCTGCAAGTTTCTCTCTTAATAAAAAACTAGAATACTAACCAAAAAATGTGTGATACTCTGTTCAAAGGACAGCAAAAACAAAACCGTAAATTCTGGTGGGAGAACATTGCTACAATGCGAAAGATATTGAGGAGCGATGAAAAGAATATACAGGCGCAAACTTCAAATGAAGGCGGGATCTATTAGCCCGCTCAGCTTCAAATTCAGATTTGTCCACATTCTATTGGAATGAGGACAACTATACTATGTTTAAGCTTTGACAGTGTGAGGCCCAAACTGTGATATATTCAGGCAAACTTGAAGGAAAGGACCTTTCGGTTGATATTTGCGATTTTGAAAATTGGAAGATGAAAACCCGGAAAATAGCAGTAGACTGGGGCACGAATACCATCCCGCCTTACTGCCCTGATGTCTTGAAATGGTATGAAGAAAGAAAAAAGAATCTTCCAAGTTGTAGATGTAACGGGACAACGGAACTTGCTTGGTGCGATCTTAGTCGTAGAGATGTCGGTGAGTTACCACAAACATTCATGAAATCAGCTTGTAAAGCGTCTTATCTGAGATTTCTGCTACCTTGCTAAGTCCACTCTAATACCTTGCGCTTTATGTTGGCATCTATCGGCTCATACTTGCGCTATTACTAGCGCATCCAGTAAAATAATATGTATTAAAGTCCTGACGAATATTACATCATGATGAATGTTTAAAAAGCTATGCTTTTATGTAGCATCGTGTTTCAGAGAGAAAAGTTCTTGGATGTGCGTTGTACTCAAATACATTAGGTTAGACCGCAAGTTCCTTCGCACCTTTAGAATTATTAAAGTCAGTGGCTCTGCAAATTATCGACCTGGAAATTTCTTGCTTACCTGGGGTTTGCGATGCGCTGATCCAAAAAAAAACCACCTTGAAAGTGGCAAAAATGGTGAATAACTGCAGTTTTGCCGAGCTACTGCCTTAAGTCCTTGCTGAGCAATCGCTTTATACGAATTTTAAACAAAGAAGAAAATTATGTAATTTGCAACAATACCCTGGCGGTTTGTGATAAACACTAATGGCAGAGGTAAAATTGAAGAATAAGATTAATCAAGTTTTGATATAATAAGATTACTCAAGTTTTGATCAGTCTGGGATAGGTCGATAATAGTTGCAAAAGAAAAACTATTACCATTTATACTACGGATTTTGTGAACTGGTCTTGCTAAGTGAGCAAGTCTGCTGATTGAACGCCTTATGATGTTACAAAAATGGCGCCACCCAAGTTTCGCTCCGACCTAATATGTACGTTGATTGACACAAGCTCGATGAATGTATCAAACAATGGCATTGTTTTTTTTTTTCATTTAGTCGCACAGATACAGTTAAAAGGACGGTCTTGGAAGCGCAAATTCGACCGCAAAGGCTCTTTTGTACGAACACCTGCAAAGTTTGTAGAAATTTTCAAATTGGGCGCGGTCAGTACAACACTACACCGATTAATCCATTCGCGAGAATTTTCTTTCAGAAATATGAACGGTATGAGAATACACTTTTGAATTGGCAACCATTCGATCTTTACCTGCGTTTCCGCAACGAATGTTATCCCCATTTACCAGCTGTCGATGGTCAAATTGTTGTTAAAGGCGAGTTGTACTAAATCTTGGAGAACATGTGTAGTTCAAAATAAGACATTTAGGCAAACTAGATCATGTGAACCGTACTTTTACGGTTCATATCTGCGATTACTTCGTGTTTAAGAGTACCTCGATTGAATTATTGAAGAAGACTTGGAGAAAGCGGTGGTTAAGGGACAAGTCAGAGAAGTGGCTTAATTGCAGTGGAATCGTGGAAGCGGAAAAGAAGAGGATAGAAGAAGCAATAAGACTATGCTTCAGTTAAGATGGCGCTACAGAGTCAAGCACTAGTGAATCGTCCGTTTAGGAGCTGTTAATGAGAACGACGGAACTAACAAAACATGTAATGATTCTTGTAAAACGGATGAAAAAGCACTGCAAGAGTGCATTTGTGAAACTGAAGTTGGTGAGTTATCAAAAACCGGAAAAGCCACTAAAGGAAAAAACTTGCCGATTCTTGCGGAACATTCTTTGTTTTGAGACATGAGCATTGCTGCCTCTCTGGTATGCACAAAACATAATATTTTAACATATAAACGTACACCTACGGTGCAGGGCGCATTACGGACCGTAGATACGTATAAAAATTCTTTACAATTTTCAGTCCTCAAAGTCGCTCTTGAACATACGCTTACTGGAACAGTCGACTTTCCGGAAAACACAACCAAATACGAAGTTTATCAAGTAAAAGTGTTGAACAATCTTATTGTGAGTTTATCTGAAACCCCACAAATGATTGATGGTTTACAGCATTCATTTAGGAAAACGAGATGAACTCGCATCTCACGTGGGAGAGCGTGCTTGTTCTTCTACACGACACAAGCGAATGCACAGCCAGACTTGGGACGATGCCACAATATATTGCAGGTTCATTTGCTTTACTTATGATGTTTTTGGTAGGGAGAAGAGTAATACACTTAGGCCGTACGGTCAACTGGAATGAAACAACAGCTGTCAACATCACTTCCTGCGGTTTACATATGTTGGCTTTGCAAAAACCGAATATTGACCGAGTAGTAAAGACGTTTAAAAATGAAACACACCCACTTCCATGCAAAAAGATCTTAAGGTGGGTTCAAACCAGTTATCAAGCAACAGCATTGACCAAGCCATTTTTAGAAGAAAGGAATCACCGTCAATTTGCTGAATCCAGCGCCTTGCCAGAGCCTCAGTTTGCATCAGGGCCCCTCAATCAGTTGATATCTAATACCTTGCGGCGTATTAACGTAGGAACTAGTGTTTTAATTGATTAAGCCAGTATAAATCTGAAACAGGATTGTCGCCCTTTTAGCACAGCAGCAAGCAACGCAAACGAATTAGTTCTCAAACTAGCGTCCTCTTTACGTGAAAGGATTACGGGAGAAGGGGCGTACTAAAAACTTAGAACATAGCAAATGCTTGAAGAAATGGGAACTGCAATGATAACATTTAGCATTGTTGTGAAAAGTAGTGCATTCTTTGTCATAGAGGTGGAATATAACACACATACAGGTATTGAGCTGATAACAAGCCAAAATCAAAGATGTCTATAAACTGAGAGAAATTTTCTCGATTATACGACAAAGTCAGTAAATTTCAAAAAAAAAATCAGAATGTAAATCAAAGAACTGATGTCCGGACACGTAAACTACTCATGCACACTTCGTAGCTAAACACATACAGAGTATCCCGAAATAATATCACATTGTTTGATCGTTAATAACTCTCTTGCTTTGATATCTTGGTCATACTTTGTACCAGTCTGTAAAGCTGGCTTCAACTTAGTTTTACAATATAGAACGAATCGCGGATCGCTCTTTCTTACTATAAGATTACGTTAAGAACTTCCAGCATATTGGTGAAGTAAGCGGTCTGATAGACTCTTTTTCGAAAAATCTGCAAAATTATGTGCTAGGGTTTCTACACATGCTGATTTCACTGCACAACTTTTTACTAGTGTTTTCAGCTTTTTTGACGCTGTAATTAGATTTCTGACAAATGCTGGATCTCAGTCGTTAAAGTTTATCTGTGATAATTTGTAAAGGAGCATCATAGTGAAGTAAAATTTTTATATTCAAAATGAGCGAATTTGATCAATTTAGTATAGGAGTTTTCGGCTTGTTTGGTTTTCATTCTGAGGAAAATTATGGCCCTTAATATCCTGAAATCCTTGTCGAAGTTCCTACCGTAATCCTACAGTGTAAGAGAGTTCTGCGGTCTTTCATACTGTAACTATAAGTTAAAGACAGCTCTATGGAATGGTACAAAGTTTGACGAAAAATGTCAGAGCAAGAGAGTATTAATTAACGGTCAGACAGTGTGCATATTATCTTGGGACACCGTGTATTATTACTGGTAATTTCTTGATTCTGACGTTAGTAGTCATGTCCTCGTTATCTCAAACCTAGTACGACGACGTTTGCAGCATTACGATTTGATCCTACATTTTCCTATTGCACTTCGCAAAAAACTACTAATATCACTACAATTCTCAACGCGAAACTTACAAAACATTTTAGAGCAATTTTTAACCAATTGAAGTCATTAGCTAGATTTTGCGATTTGACCATCTTCGACCATGTGTCTCCCTCCTTTAGCAAGGCCAACAGACGGATTACTCCCCTAACCATATTCCATCATGTTGCTGTCAAGTCTCTTATCATACTGTTTGAATTTTTGTGATAGAGGGCGGTGCAATTGCGACTCCATAGAGTTATTGTAAGCTGTTCGTTTGCTGTATTTGAAATCTAGTGTTCATGCGTACTTAAAAGAAAGTTACTTCATTGCAGAACTGGCGAATACGTCAAGGAGGTTAGATACAGACGCAGTCCGACGATAATTCTTCCAAATTCATTTAGCTCAATGTCCGCGGCTAAATATTATACACGAAGAAAAATGTAGTTGTGGAGCAGGCGGTGACAGCTACAGATATAATATGTTCAATGAAAGTCTGCGAGTTAACAAGCAATATACGGAACATTTTGAACTCTTTGTAAATTTACAAGTTCTATTACCCACTAATTATAGGCTCACGTTTAGAAATCAGAATGTGTCTGAACGTTATTCAATCAGCAAAAATCATCGACACTCCAGAAATCTTGCCACCCTCGCAGCAAGATGCGGAGATGGCTTTACCTTATCATTAGTCACATACTTCACACCTCCAAACATGACTTCTTTGAAGCCAGCTAGCATGAATCTGGGAATGAATCATATGCATCTCCATCTCTTCTTCATAATTTTTTAGAAAATTGTTACCTTGTTCCGGAATGATAGCCGATAAATTTGATAGGATCATCAAATGTCTCATCCGTCTTTTGGACCAGCGCTCAAATTCGTTGAGTGAAGTAAAGGTGAACAAATACTTCAGGCTGTGTCGTATGCAGTTCTTCCTCTTTTCGAAGCAATGCCAAGGTGAACAACAAGCGCTATCGATCGCTGGAGTTTGCAATCCTTCTATTTTATTAGGTTGGAAACAAAGTTTTGCAACCATCTTGATAACTTGCTTCTTTTTCAACATGGCGCACTCAGATTTTGTAATTATGTAGATTATCACGCAAACTACAATTGCAGCTGCTTTCCTGCCAAATTCTGCGTATGAGGGTTACGGTAGGCGTATGCACAGGGGGACTGTTATAAAATATTACAGATTAGGCTGAAACTTGATACAGGGGTTATTTGGCATGCTAATCACGAAAACTATACTGAAATCGCGCGGCAAGGGCTTCCTTGCAAGATTACTGTAGGTTTACGGTCTGAGGTCCTCACCCTAATCAAAAAAGGCGTTAATTCAACAAATGAATATGATATTCGTGTTTTTCAGGTAAAATAACTCCTATATGCAAAATCTTGGTGAATTCTGAGGTTCCGACTTCTACACATTAACGGTTGTCCTCAGCAGCCTTGCGTACAGCTGCTCGTTCAACTTTCTGAGGGCGCCAAATCTCGAATTATAATATTATCGAATTTCGTTTTTTATTAAGTTGAATAAATCAACCTTTAACAATAATTCACACCTATTTTGAATCATTGCGTATGCTATAGATAGTGATTGCCTGGATTTGGCTTGCAACCCCAAAAAACCTCGAAATTTATTGGTTTTCGGAAAACGCTTCGCATTTCTTCCAATTCGGGTTCAAAATTCACCTAGTTTGTGCATGTAGAGGCATAACGTTCTACATATTGCCAAAGTTTGAGAGCGCAACATCCAGAGACAGCAGAGTTATGAAGGAAGTTCAAACTTAGTTTCCAGCCTAATACATTTTCAACTTTCGCAAATTTTCAGAACTGTTCGGTTGAATAGCCCTAAGAGCCAGCAAAAAGGTAGAACGTTTTGCAAACCGACGCGAAATGTTGTACTTTGCTAGCAGGTTATCAAACACTTTCACATTCAATCTACTGCTGCGATCAAATTTCATTTTCGGTCAAATAAAATCTCGCGAAACAGCGTTAAAGGCAATGTTCGGATTGGGGGTTTTGGGATTTCAGTGCCACGCGGAAGTGGCTCCCCTCAGACATAGCATCGCGCAAGTACGAGGTTATAACGTTCGACCTGAAGCAAGAAAAACGATCGGGAAATGGGGAAACTTACGCCTTGGGGCGGGGTCCTCCGACTTGTTCGAGTTCCTGCTATGTGGCAGAGTACGCATGCCGCCACAGTCAAAATCGTGGGGTCCCGCAGTGATTTTGTCCCAGTCTTAGCGGGGCCTCGGATTTTTGTAAGGCTTTGGAAAACGCATGTTCTCGACGTTTTCGCGCCTTCGTGGATTTTCGGATTCACCGTTGCGGATAGCCCCCGGTAAGTGGATTTTCTCAAAGTCGAGCATCTGCATAGGACACTGCCTTTAACATTCCAGGATCATTTGATGTAGCTTCTTCTCTTCTTTCTGACATCTGCTCCTTCTTTGCGATATAAGTGGAGCAGACAATATTATCGTATATTTTAATTTCACGATACACAATGTTGCTCCCTAACTTCTGCATAATTTGAAGCGATAATTCCCAATTCCTCTGCCTGATTAGTGATGTAATAAAAAGTTTTGGAACCTCAAATTTAAGATTTCCCAGTGTTTGTTGTCTGTTTGTGTTATGCAGTTCTTTCAGAGGTCAAAGCTGCGAGGTCATAGGAAAATTCTAAAAAGCCAGCCAGGGAAAACAAAAAAAATTTCGTTTAGAAGAAAGTGTCCTATCTGCTGGTGAAGAAAGCCTTGCAAAAGTCCCGAATGAACGCTGGAAATTAGACTTGGTATAGAAAGGTTGTAAAAATTCAGCAATTATCCCAGCACTCTTGAAGCTATCACTTCGTATTTATAATTATTGAGAGAAAAATTCTGCATTCTTGCTACACACTTTGAAACTTGCTAACCTAGTTAGCTAGTTCTGCACCAACTCAATATTTTTGAGTTCTTGCGCATGAGAAGCACAGCTAGCGCTTTCTTGTTCATTACATGCGAATTAACCAGTTCTTTTGAAGTAATGATCGTTTTCTTTTGAAATAATTGTCGTTCACTGCCTTAAGTGTCATCACTAGAATCGCAAAGAGTTGCGCTGTTTTATGATACTTTCGTTTAAAAGACTCATAATTCTAAATATTACCGACCGTAATGGACACTGTCACAGTCGTGAAAAGATGAAGAGGGGAACAGCTTTACGATTTTAGTGGAAAAGGTTGTGGGAAAGGTATGGTGAGCACTTCTGCTGGTTCAACACATGGGAGAAAGAGAGTGAACTCAAGCATTTTAGCTAGGAGCAATGAGAGCGCTTTAGCCGGAAAACATTCAGGAAATTTTTGTTTACTCACATGGACCACCAAAAATTTCAAAGCTGTGAACGCTTTCCTGACTTAATATCAAAGGAGGAAGAGTGAGCACCATACTCTAGCTCGAGGTTTGAGAGGAAATTCTAAACATTCCTATTCAGACAGCAGAGGACTTCTTACAAAGGAAAGGCTAGAACGAAGTGCTAAGCGCCTCTGTAACATAAGCCATTATATATTGCAAGAGAATCGCTCGTAAAAATGCAAATCTGGAGCTACAAAGTCATATTTTGCTTTATTCCAACGAAACAGTAAGCTTCTTATAGTTTACTAGCTAGCTTACCCGGCTCCGCCGTATGTTCCGAATAGAAAATTCCATTTCTTAACCGATCCGGACCAAACTTGGCACACATACACTTTGGGCCCCGGCGGGTGTCACAGTCCACTTTTCGTTATCGATCGATGTCGATTTTATCGATTTTTTGCAAAATTTGAGCTAGGGGGCTGGATAACGAAAAG